TTTTTACTTAATATGAAAATTGTTTCTTGTATCAATGGTAAACTTGAAATTTATGGTTAAATGCAACAAAATAAATATTACTTATCCTTTCCTTGAGCTGTTGGCTACATGTAACTGAGCAATTTAGTTAGATAGCTCATTAATAATATCTTAAAATAAACTGCTTTAAATCCAGCATTGACTTTAACACCACTGCTCTGCTTTAGATGAAAATTATTATTTTAGGTTACTTGTAAATAGCTTAAAGGCTGTGTCTAAATTCAGGGTCTGCTTCCTTCGAAGGTTGAATTTGTCCGCCGATTATGTCACAGCGAAGCACTTAAGGTTGTCCAAAATYGAAGACTCCTCCAGTTGCTGCCCACAAATGTGTCCTCCTTTTACCCCTATTTGAAGGATGGGTCTGGTGGATCTCGGCCCACCATATCCCAAGATGCATCATGGGCCAACCAGAGATTTTTTTTTTGCTCGTCATGTCAAACAAAACAAGAGACAGTAATACAGTGTTTTTGTTTATACTGGTGGCACAAAAGTTTAAAATAGAAAGTTTAAAGCAGTTGTGTTTTTAGGCTTTTGTCATTTGCAGAGACATGATTTTTAATATTCTCATCAGAAAACATTGTAAACAAGCTCATATTGCAGGTCCTTTAGTTCTCCGTGTATCGCCTCTAAAATAACTTTGTACTTTTATAATAATAATATCGATAATATATTAATATTTTGCTAATTTTGATTTATTTTCGATCTTCATTGCTTCTGTTTAGCGTCGTCACCTTTGCTAGGCGACAGGACCTATACCTGTGTAAGGGCGGGAATAAAGCTTCAGAGCCACTTTCTTTGCATTCAAAGGACGCAGCCCCTAAATTTAGACACAGCCATTGGCTCAATATGATTACAGATATATAATCTATAAATCCAGTATTGACATTTTATCTATTTATCTTTAACCATAAACTGTTTTAAAGTCTAGTGAGAAAAACAAACACTTATATGTTGTTAGCAGAACTTGTTCCAATCTGCCTGGCCTTGATGTCAGGTTAGAACTGATTATCAAGTGAGACTGTTGTGTTACTAAAATTGTGTCCCGCCAATCTGTCAACAACTTCATGTGTTATTATCTTGTAATGTGTTCGTCACTAAATACTGGGATCAAACTCCAGGTGAAAACAAAATTAAAGCTGGAATTAGTCGAACTTGTTATTATTCTGTAACAKTACTGTTCTGCACAATGCCAAATTTAACAAGTTGATCTATTTTCATATGACGACGAGGTTTTTGTCRCATCGTCATGAGGCACTTTTGAGTGTTTATGGAACCGTTATCGGTCTGCGAGAGTGAGCGATGGTAACCTTCAGGGGTCATCTCTATTTACCCGAGCACTGTTTATGTCTGTCGCTGTGGATTGAGGTGTTTTATAAAGCTCACAATTTGATGTTCTGCAGCCTCCCTCGGCCGGTGTTATGGATGTTGTGAGCGGGCAGCCAAGTGATACAGAGTTGTTAGATTACTTTTCAGCTGATGAGCTGTTTGCGGCACTTGTTCTCTGCCAGATGATTCCTGTAACACCTAGTTGTGGAATCCATCAGCTTTGTAGCATGAAGTAGGTTTCATATACCTTATTGCTGACTGTAAATAAAAAGGTAATGTTCGGAGCTGACTTTTGTGGTTGTATTGTTCCACATCTGAAATTGCCACTTGATGTGCAGAGAGGCCACGCTGTTGATCAAAGGACACAGTTTTGTATTGCTTTGACTGATGGATATACTGCTGTGAGCAAGTCAGGCAAAACATTTTACAATTCATGCAGTGAGGGAGAGGTCTATGGAGACTTGCCCGAACGCTGTTTGGTAAAGCTCTGTGAGCATATGTGGTGAATCTCTAACTCTAACTCGACCAAGTGAGTAAGCTTTTAACGAGATCAGAGAGAATAAAGTGAAACATTTTACCCAGAAGCGCAGCAGTATTTTCCGTACACTGGAAGGTCTTCCAATCAAACCACAGAGCAACATGAGTTAGAACAGGAGGGCTTCCATCTTATTTTCACTTCATGAATCATTACTTGGTCTTTTGTTTTTAACAAGTCCTTCCTTTTTTTCTTTATCCTTTTAAAGGGGGCATGATGAAAAATATCCCTTAAAGGGAGAGTATTAGCAAAATGGATTTTTTTTAGCTTTAGATCATGTTATAATATCATTCCCTCTTGAAAAAAATATACCCAGAGTGTTTCTTGACTCATTYATGCATGTTTGAGAAATCCTTGAATCTCCTATGGCAGTCATGTGACGCTGCCTAAAACCTGCTGGTTTCAAAGCTCCACCTCTTTACTCAAAGCTCCTCCCTGGAACTCAGTCTTCAGCCAAGCTCTGGCCACGCAGAGCACCCCTGCCCGGAAGCATTGTTGTGAAGATGTGCTGTAGTGGGAGTGTCAGAAATGGTAGGAAGTTCTTAAAGAGAGAGAGGCCAATTTCAGGACAGCATTTTTATAACGACTGAAGGTAACATAGTTGCTTGATTATGGTATAAAACTGAAATATGTGCCTGGAAAATACACAACACCCCCTTAAACATTTAAACACATTACAGCAGCTGTTTGTTTCTATCCAAGTAGAATATTTAAGCTGAATTCTGATAAATGCACATTTCATAATGCCTGAATGAGCTGCCTGAATGAACATTTGTGTTAGCAATTTGCTGCACATGGAATTTGAAGCTGACAACCTCTGGCTTTGTCTGATGTGTTTAGAAATGCAATTTATCTCTGCAGCGTTCTGTCGATTGACACTCCCAGTGTCAGCGGTGATTGATAACTGGCACAATTCTATTTTAGGCACCATCGTGTCATAAAAAAATTATGAGCTGACAGTTGTTTACCACGCAGAGCTTACAGTCAACAAAAAATAAATAAATAAATCCAGTATATAAGCAACTGAATGTGCAGTCGTTTTATGTGTTTTACTCATTTTCCTCAGTAAAGTCAATCATCAGGCATTGAGATGTTAAAAACACAAAAACAAATCTGCATTGTTACAGTCACTTAGGTCACAAATTATACAGTTCTTTTAAAGATGCTGTGAAAATGAGTAGTTTGAGAGCCAGTTTGTCATGCATGGAACAAAAGGACCAGATTGCTCTACTCCCTCACCTCGAGCTATGCACATGCACATCCAAAGCGTCTGTGTTGTGGGCGTCCTGAGAGACGAGTCATTTCAGGGCCATGATAAGGGGCCTGCTTGGGGAAGATACTGTGCTATTGTGGCTGAATTTCAGCACAATGGACTGGCTGAGGATCTGACACACTGGGGGTAARGGAGCACTGACCAGTCTCTGTTCTCCACAGACTCATTCTCTCCCAACATTATGACTGTCAGGGTGTGCGTCTGTGCAAATGCGTTATCAAGTGAAGAAACATTTAAATTTGGCAGACTGGTGTCAAACAGACATTTGATGTTGTGTAGCTATGCACCGATTGAAATGTCTGCACAAAWGGGTCCATAGACTGGAAATGCTGTGGTCATGCAAGACGAWACAAGAAGATGGAAGGAGGTAAAACTGTAAGACACCTTGTGATGGATTAGCAGAAAGTTGATCTTCCAAGCCAGCACAGTGTAGCCATGATGCATTTACCACTGAACACTTGAGGCTAGCCTGAAATTCCCTCTTAAAGTGCCTTTGTCACCATTTTTTGTAATAAATATGAATGCATTTTTGGAAGGATAACAATGATAAAACATTGCAAAAAGAATTTCATGCCACAGAGATGAACAATTGTTGAGCTATTTCCAAATGAAGAAACAGGAAGTGATGTAAAAGGGGAATGTCTGCATAAAAACAGAGCATTGCTACAATGGCTAACAACACAGACAGCAGAGGATAATGTGAAGTTTCTTTAGATTATTTTGAGTCACTATTAGAGATGAAGAAGAGTCAGAGTTCAAATAAAATTGTTTAAATAACAAAGATCAGASAGTTCATTTTATAAAAAAGTTCCCCTTTGATGTCACTTCCTGTTTCACTTTGGCTGAGCCAAATTCAATAGAAAACTTGCCAGCTATGTGATGAAATGGGTAAAATCATGTATTATGCCAAGTTTCTTAAATATTAGGGATGTCCAGATCTAATATCAATATCAGATATTGGTCCGATATTAGCCAACAAATAAATATTGGATTATATTGGCCTGCATCTAAAATCTTCTATATTAGCCCTCCGATACAAGCAGTCCATCCAACAGTCCGCTCAGGATTTCTATCCAACAGCACTTGGATTTAGCATAAATAATTTTTGTGACCTTGAATAGTTATTTTACACTTTAAAAGTACATTTTGGATTTATTTTTGAGTGTTTTTCTATTTTATTACTTATTTATTGTATTTAATTATACAATATTCTTATGTTTAAGTTAAAGAATATGTAATCCATT